GCGGAAACAGCAGAGTGAGCCATAGCACGTGACTACGTTTATACTCTTTGAAATTACACATGTGAGCGTTTTTGTAGTTTTTCGTATTCAAACAAAAAACGACTATGCAATTGACGAAATGGGTAGTGTTATAATGGAAGTAAAATTATTGTACAAAATGCCACGTGCTACAAAATGGAAGTATTTACACGGAGTACAAAATTACAATAATTGCAAAATTACAAACGTCACCGGTTTTCGACAAACGTTGAGGTACTCCAAAAGGCAAGCAAAGGCTATATGGATGAGCAGTAAACTCGTGATCAAAAGCGGCCGCAAACTCATGCAATAAAACAAATTTACCATTAACCAAGATTTTTGGTAAATTAGTAGTTTACCCGAAGCTTTACAAACGAGTTACGCGGTAAGGAAAACGAAAAATATAAATGACCCGTGAGACTGAAATAAGATTCAACTACAACAGTCCAAGAGGGGTGGTCCATTTGAATTGTTATGCTGGTAGACAGTCATTCAGGGGTATGCAATTCGTGCACAAGCCAGGATTCTGATTGGTTGGTTGTGCACCAGTCAGAAAGCGCGGTCATTTGAATGTAGGTCATGCATTAGCTAAGTGGTTTTGATTCACATGGGTTTATGTCCAGCTAGGAGCACTAAGACTGTGACAAGTATGTGTAAGTCAATTCACTAAGATTTTTTAAACCGGAGGTCAGTGCTTAAGGAAGAAAATCTCAGCGTAACCTCAACACAAAGCCAAACTTATATTTCATCATTCTGTGTTGATGGGTTTAAGGAACACACTTTTATTTCAACATGCACACGGAATTCTTTACTTATGGTCACAATTGCTTCTTCGATGTACTTGAGTTGGTTTTCTCCCGTCATTTTCATGGAATGAGCCTTTTGTCATTCTACAGTTGGTCGTCTCGATTGCGCGACAGTTATGTGCCTGCAAAATCGTTGTTTCGCTCCGTTTTGGTGACCAGTAAGTTTCCTTCTAAGAGGTATTTTGCATAACACGCATTTCGCTACGTATGCAGCATTCCTTATGGATAATGCGTAATAATGTCCACCGGATGACTGAAACGTACATTTCGACAACATTGTCTCGTGTCCCTTATCCCCCAGTTAAGAATTTAGCGAGTCGTCCCGCCTAGTAAGTACACGCTGAGGGTATTATGCTTCTTCATGGGTGAGCGAACGGAGCGCCTAGATTTCAGTTTGATGGAAAATATTCTTTTCAATGATCCGGCGATTTGAACGTTACCGCAACTTTGGTCAGTGCACCGAAACGAAACTGATTGAAGCCTACACTAGTCTCTAAGTACTGCGGCAATAGGATCGGTTTCAGTCATGCCACCAGCACATAGTTTTCCGGTTCCGACAAACTCACTAATGGGGTCATGCTTCCCTATTCGAACAGCGAGTATGACGACTTCATAACGCGCATTCGGCTACGTCACCACTATCCTCCATATGTATTTTCCAAGAAAAACAATAGCATGTGTGTACATATTTATTGCAGGAGACTTTATGGGTGCACGCAGCGACAATGAGGTCAACGTAATTTTTATATTATCTTCCAGTTTTCTTTTTGAACCGGAAAACCTGAAATGAAAATGAAGGGATGATTGAACAGTGTAGAATAGTGTGGCAGATAAAGGTGATGCGGTACCAGAGCCCAGTTAGCCCATGTAAACCTGTTGTATCATGGTTGCTACTGCCGCACCGCTTTGAGGACAAAATGGATTTTGCGGCAGCCCACCCACCAGAACCCGCGCACTCACCTTAATGGGGCTGTAAATGGAAGTATTTTTTAATGGCAAAAGCGGCAAACAGGCGCGAAACTGGGTTGATGAAACTTTGTAATGTTTTAGGTTTTATAAGACGTTTTATATTTTTTAGGATTTTGCAAAACGTTTTTGCATCGACGCGAAATGACGAGCGGGAAAATCTGTAAACAACAACTGGTTACATGTATGAGCGTAAACTAGTCAACAATGCAATGCTCGTGGCAAGCAGGGTAACAAAACTGGCGTTCTTGCACTCCCGACGCAACTTGCTGAACTTTGGCACAAAGCGGATGGAACCACCGAACGCAGTAGTCATATTGCACCCACTCAAACTGCCTATGGTTTCTAAGATTATATTGCCGGCAACATGAGCAAGTAGTCTCACGCAGCCGGGCTTGACGATACTTTTTGGCAACGTACATTGCAGCCGTCCGTACTCTAGTGTCTCTGACGACCGTTGTTTCCAGGAAGACAGAACTGTCCAGATCTACCTCCATGGTTTCCTCCCCTTTGATGCTGGCTTACGACGCGTCCCTGTCGGTGGTGTTTTCCCCACGACCACAGCTGATCACCTTTGTTTACAGAACTTGGGTTTTAGGGAATTGAAGGAGCAAAAGACTTGTCAGTGGAAGGCTTTAGCAGCAATAGTCCGGGGCGATTATTATTGGGGGCCCTAATTTCGGGGTCAGGGAACCCGGGCAAAGGTATCTGCTGCACCCTCACACTACGTGCTAGCTCGTCAGCAGGCTTATCTAACCTTGCTATTTCCGCCTTGAAACTATCACTGCCTAGATGTAACAAAACTTATAAATAGTTGTAAACCGCCCTATGACCTATGGTTAGCTTTGAACCCTTATCCAACGGAACCTCACTGCACTATACTATGGACAATGAAGCTTGGTTTTCGGTGGGTTCTGTTACAAGACTGGGCATAAGCCGGCTACTTGTGCTCAAGTTCACCGACAGGTCTCACTGCTCAGCCCGGGAAGTCGTCACCATGTGACGACGGGTTAACAGCCACTGGTTAGCAAATGAACAAGTACATTTTAAACGTTCATCTAGGCGCACAAAGTGACCGTCCGAGAAGCTTGGTCAATCACTACCACTTTCCACGGCCTCGACCGTTACATTATTGTTTTCTAAGACCAAATTCCGAGCGAACGCCGTCAGACAGTTTAAAAGGCTCAAAACGCTGTCTCCTAAGAGGGCTTCGTCAGCAACTGTCAGCAAGCAGCGAGCCACTTGCACACTGTATTTATTTCGTAAGCGCTCATTACGCTTCAGAATGGCTTTCACACAGTCTATCAGTGAACACGACTGTGATAGATTACTCTTGATGTAACGGTTAGCGGCCTCCATCATGTTGTTCGTACCCTGCCCTAAGCTTACATGATGTTTCCGGGCCAAAGCTGCCCACTGGCTTCTCTGGGGAAGCCAGTTCTGTTGAAGGAAATAGTGCAGATCTACGTTCTTATGACGGATCTGTCGTAAACATGTATTGAAACTTTCTTCTGATCTGCTGTAAACTAGTCCCTTCAGGCACTCTAGCAAAATATCCTTGTCCTCAAGTGAAGCTACCGATATGTTGTTCAGACGATCCGTGAAGTTACTAACTACGTGGAATGAGCATAAATGGATGTGCAACCGTGGTAGATGATTCGTTATTGCGGCAAGCTGCGCCGCATGCCGGTCGCAGATATCCGTTTGAACCCTACAGACCTCCGGCATGGTTTTACAAAAATGCCGGAGGACCCGTTCATACGATTCGGAGGTTTCATTTTCAATGAAAACACAGTAAACACTTCATCCCTTCTATGACGACAACGTGCCACAGACGATACGATCCACGATTACACTGCGTGGTTGAATCAAAAGCAGTACTTCGTTATACATGCTGAACATTTCTTACAGTTCATTTAGTGAGAAAACTAGAAATTTTAGACGTCTAGTTTATGAACACCGCACTACGGACAAACAGCCGCGATTATCAATTGGCTCCTTTATGAATTTTTATTCGTTAGACGGTTGCGTGACCTCTCGACGTCGGCTACGCATGTTTCTCGGGTCATAGGCAGCGAGTACTATATTCCAATGTTGTCTTACAAAATCACGGATTTCCGCGTTAGAATGGAATCTCTGACTCCTGATCTGCACTCAGTCTGCGGTTAAAGTAATATGAACTAGGAAAGTGTTCAAAGGTAATGAGGAGGTGCCGCATATTCACTTTTGACATACGCATTCCACCGCTTACCAAGCCATACACCAGACAAATCGACGCGGGGCATCCAAAGTCTGCTTCCCTAAGGGTATAAGCAATAATACGGTATTTATTAGTTACTTGGGCTTAGGGCAAATCCTCTGCTTATAATGGACGCATACATACTGCACCCAGTAAAAGTCGTGTTAAGCCGGTATTTCCAGACGCCATTTTGCCATCTGTCGTTCTCGAGATATACTGTTTCGAATCACGTAGCTTGCTCCAGTTTGACGCTAAAACTGCGACAACTTGGCCTGGAAAACATTAAGGGTGGGGAATGGCCCCATACCAACTATCTTGTTGAACATCTCAGCAAGATCGACACCGGAAGTAGCACGGACCGCCGCCATTGCTGTTGCAGGAATGGGGTCGCCATCTTGTGGATCCGCCTTTCATACAACTACCACCATTTGGACATTCGTCACGTGACAAGTTCCAGTCAATCCTTCACTAAAATTTGGCTTGTGCATGAATCAACTTCCTTATCCAAGATGGGAGGCAATTTTAAATATATACGAAGTTGCAACAGTGTGTACATCTCCAAGACAAAAGTCAAGATTTCCGAAAACAAATATCAAAGTCCTGCCAAGCATTTATTGGAATATATGACATTGGTAGTCACAAACGGGTTTCGTGAAGAAAGTTAGGTCGCTGGAGGGCAATTTAAGGTATGTGGATACGTTTTGTGATATTAGGTTTACTTATTCATTTTATAAACTACGAACTGTACGTGTTTCACACGAAGAAGCAGAGGTCTTCTGGAATAAACTCTTTAAATTTCTTCATGTTATTATGCCGCTTGTGTTCCTTAGTTTATGCGCTTCAACCATTTAATGCGTTTTTTGACGACTTTTGTACAAATGTAGTTTGAACGCGCGCGCTTCCGGGATTGTGCACAACTAACCAATCAGAATGCTGGCTTGTGCATGAACAGCATGCCGTTTTGGTCCCTGGCGCTATCCAAACGCAAGTGCAGTTATGAGTTGAAAACTTACGACTGGCCTTGGCCGCATCAACCATCGCGTGGTGTTATCAGCCGGATCGCCCCACTTGCTGCATACAGCGGAGTGGATAAGTGAGCTACTGCCGGAGCCTGTCTTCCCCTTTCACATGCTTGTGCTGCCTTCGCTGTCAACGACGTTTCCTTAGGTCCATTCTAAAGGACTGCTAAATCCGTTTACTACCAACTGGTGTTAGCTGCACTATCCACAATTTACTTGGTCACTACGGCTGTGGACACTTGGAAATCATTCACCAAACCCCAGAGATCATTTAATGTAACAGCACCTGACGTTTGCACCCAGAAACAGGCCGGATGACAGATCGCTTTTGCGCATATGCGGGACTCACTACATATTGATGCTGTGTGTAGTGGGGTCTCTAATGAGCAGAACGAAATACTACTAAGTGAGAACAACCAAGTCACTCGGAGGGAGAATAATCCAAGGCTTTAAGATTTCGAAGTCTTGGCCTGCAGTTCACAACGGGAAATCTCACAGGTCCATGTTCCGTTGAACCACCACACCAAGAACAGAAGATTCTATCTTCCTGGTATTTCAAACCTCTGGTAGTGGCAATATTAATCCGATGACGTGAATAGATAAACCCAGTGTTTGCAGCTAAATGTTTTGTCCATGTTGGGAGTTAGGGCTAGCCAATGTTATTCAACCGTCAGTCACAACAACAGTCGCTCATCCCGTTGAGCCCAAGAAGCAGTGACTTGTGTACTCCATTAAAACAAACTTTCTACAATAATGTAACCAATATTGACAAGGAGAAAAATGTAATATTGAGTAGGATAAACGGCAGTTTACAAGTGCTACAGAACCCCCCTCCTACAGCATCAAATGGGTGGGCATGACGCTCGAAAAAAAATGTGTCGCAAGGGTTAATCCTTAAAACCTGTGCGAATTTTGTGATGTCGACCAGACTTTGTAAGGAAGTGTGTTGTGTTAGTCGAAAAAGAGAGACTGTAACGAAGGGGTACGTGGTAGGCTCATCATCTGGAGTTGGTTGTATGTGCACGTAAGCTTAACCTTAACCAATCGATGCTGTGTCTTTGCGACCGTTGCGGTGGTTGTAAGGGCTTTCTGACCGCATTGACGGGTACAAAAACAAAACCATATGTAGCAAGGTCGGGATGTACTTGGGTGGGTTCAGAGGTTTGTCAAGTCGAGGGACGGATGTCACGCATCTATTGACAACTGGTATGCGGTAATACGCGCGGCGAGGTCAGTTTTGGAGAAAACAGTGTTACTCTGTAAGTCCAGTGCAAAATCATGAACATATAGTATCTGTTAACGATCAGGGACGGTACGACAATTGAGTGCTCGCTAGTCGCCGCACGATCGCCAGTCACCAGTAGATGTTTTAGGAACCAAATGTAGGGGAGAAGCCCAACAAGAATCTAAGGCTGAATTATTCCTAGTTGTAGCGTGTGATTTGGCGATACGCAGCTCCTCGGGGTGTAGTTGTCGAGGGCGTGAATTAACTGGAGGACCGGTGGTCGTCATGTGCTGCCCGGCTGGGTGTGGCACACTCGGGAATCAAAATACTACCGGGTTGTTCGTTCACGGATATTGAATACGCTGACGATATTGCTGTTCTTGAACCAGACCCTTTAGATATGCAAATTATTTAGATAACCTAAATGATTCTGCTGCACTGTTCGCTATGCGCTTTGCACCGTCACAAAGAGAATGGACCTTACCGTGGTGTAAATTTGCGTACTTCCGCGACCCGTCGGCGCATAAGGGGGGAGATGCGACACTTGCAGTCTCATATCATGTTTGTCAATAGTTAGAATAGACTGCACTGTTCTGCGCTTTGCACCGTCACAAAGAGAATGGACCTTACCGTGGTGTAAATTTGCGTACTTCCGCGACCCGTCGGCGCATAAGGGGGGAGATGCGACACTTGCAGTCTCATATCATGTTTGTCAATAGTTAGAATAGACGAAAACGTCGGTAGCTCAGGTAGTGTAGATGTTCACAACCGCTAACCCACCGCTACGCTCCCCAATAATTCACGGATGATATCACCCCGATTAGTGATAAAACGTTTGCAATAAAATTGTCCAGCTCAGCGAACTAGCAGACGACCATGATTAGAATAGATTAGAAAAGAGCTGGCTGAGGACGTCACCATGTTTGAGCTCGGCGGCTGGTAGGTCATCTGGACTAGGAGTTTGGTGGCGCTTGGGAGGACATACGCAGTCAAATTTCAGAGGCCGGAGTGAGCTCTGCTTCCACCGTTCAGGATTCTACGTCAGCTATAGGCTCTCTGGTGTTCACGAGAATTGTTGCTCGAATATATTCGGTCCACCGCTCAAGCTGTTCTTTATTGAAGATGGTCTGTGCATCCTGGTCCTTAACCGTTTTCCTCACAGGTTGTTTCTGGGGACCGGTCACATGGAGCAAATGAAAAAAATCTTCGGGCCCTCCCGGTTTTCGGGGCATCATCCACTTGGTTAGTTTTCCGAGTCCACCAACCTTCACGATCGGCGCGCGCATTTACTGACCAGAAGGTTCGTGGTTCGAACCCGACCACTGCCTCTCGACTTCCCATGTCTAGGTTTGGGGAACCTGGCAGTTTCTCAGACCTGTCACTGCCTTCGAGTGTCATGGCAGCTAGGCACCAAAAGGGCGTTACAGCTGAACGATTTTTTAAATTTATCTCCGATAGGCATTCCCTCAGAACTGTAGCTTGTGTAGGCTGGTGTCTAATAAATAGCGACGAGGCAGCTGGAAAACAAGTGTTCGGTTGCGCACCTGGGTCTTCAATTGACGTATGTTTCCAGCACCAAAAACTACTGCTCAATCATCGCTTTCCAAAGAGAGTGTTGTTTTCCATTACCAGTTTGGAGTTGAAAAGCGATATAATGTAATAATCACCCAGCTGTACCTCTTTCGGTGCCCAACTGGCATGCCGCATGAGAGAAGCCTGAGGTTGCCCAGACCTAGACAGGACCAGTCGAATGCAGAGTTTGGATCCGAACTACGTACCTTCGGTTCGGTAAGTTCGCGCGTTAACTGATAGGCTATCTCGAGCAGAGGGCTATGAAACAGATTACCAAAAGTCTGGGTGATGTCCGTGTGACACGCCTTCCAGGACGAAGTCCGCTTGCTCTAAATTGTGCTTGGATGGGGACGCTGCAAGAGGTGCCTGCCTCTATCCAGTGATTGTTCACAAATGTAGACAGCTTTGAACGATTGTGGCAAGCTAGCACGAAGTCCCTTCCGCATCCACTTTTATCCTTTCTTTCACAATGAGGTTTTCAAATAAATTATGGTTGTACGACAGCGAAGCAGCAGTGTTGAACACTTTGTTTGGGCGTGTGACTTTTTGTACAAATCCTACCTCAAGATGTCATGGTGTGTACTGCAGTTTCCCCATGCATAACCACTCTTTCTGTTGTGGGTTGGACTATCCTTAGTCGTACCCATGAACACTGGATCGTCGAATGGTAGATTGGAGTCTTGATGATGACCAGGGTGCTCAGACATTTCTAGTCCGATATACACTCATGAGCTTGATGGCACTTCACTTGCTATTCTTGTCGCTTGTCAAAGAGAAGCCGGTTAGCAGCTCAGCGAAGAGCACCATCCTTGGAGTGACAACGGCCAATCTTTCGCAAAGTTCAATTCACTGAGGCTGTTGCTACGCCTTCCCACAGTTTATCCTCTTCTCAGTGACTTCACTTAAGGACCGTCACACCGGCCTTGCTACGATACCACCAGTAGGCATTTGCAGCTTTTTGGGGAAGCGATTAGCCGCATCTGAGATCACTGTGGTTTAGCAGTACGACCTCGCTTGCTTATGGCCGGTTACATTTCATAAGTTACTTGCCTGCAGCTTGCCTCTTCTCAACGGTCTTGGACGTCCCGAGAAACACACAGCACATCATCAAGGCTAAAGATTTCAAGGTTTCCAATGCGTAAAAATATAACTGCGCGCGAAAACCTGGTCTCTTACTGATAAATATTTAGCTGACAGAATTATTCGCACCCAAACCTGTTGAGTACCCCGGCTGCAGGAGAAAACACTAATCTTCATAAATGTTGAGGTTTGAGAGCGATTGCGTACAGGTATGCCACGTGACTGGGATTGTATCTGATCAAACCATATAATGCTGACTCTGTGCTCCGCTCCACAGTTTAGCTTATATGACAGTGAACAAGATCTGCCGCCTTTCACTTTTTTGGTTCTATGTAGGATGCACCACCTGGCAACGTACGGTTTGTTCGTTCGTTTTTCCTCCTTCCAATGCTTCTTGATTTATCTTTGACTGCCAGGTTTCCACTTCGCGATGTTTTGCAATGATCTCGGACCCTCCTTCGGTATCTCACCGATATTCACTCATCAACCCAGCAGTCAATCAACCAACCCTAATTTGAGTCTTCTACATCAGATGCTTTCTGTTGACAAAAGTGACGGTTTCATCACTGGACCAGTTTCCCAAAAGGGGCATTCGGCTGGTTCCTCTAAACAAAACAGTCAAGGTGTTTTTCCGCTTTGTCCTGGCACCGATTCAAACCGACTCGAAGCTGCGACAGACCTACAACTCCACGCAACTCCCAAGCTAGATGGTGATTGGTGCGAATCACAAGCTAATCCTTCCGTTATGGTTGACTATGGAGGAGCTTTACCTTCTTTTACGGCTCCACATTTGTGTCATGACTGTGGGAAATCATTTGTGGAGGTGAGAAACCCCATCAATTTGCACGATTAATTTATCCTCCGCTAGGCCTAATCACTTGTCTTGAGCTAGATTTCTTCCATCTCAGTGAATTCAGTCCCGTTGCCCAAACCCTTGTGCTACGATCTCCTACTGCTCTAGGTAATCAGACTTATTAGGAGAATGCGTTCATGGTTTCGTACACATCCAACTACTTAGTCAGACAATACAGATAAGCAGCAACGCCACTGACTTTCTGGTGCCTCGCCACAAACCTTTTATTCCTCAAGTCATAAACTCATCACCTCTATTATTGTCTCGCAGTTCAGGTCAGTTTGATAGTGGTTTGGGTCACCACAGCATACAGTAATGAATAGGGTGGGATAAAGGGTTAATGACTAGGTGTGCGGGTTGGTATGTCAGTGAGGGCCTCCAACCGTTGGCGGGTTGAATCTGTGGCTACCCGACCTCGGATAGGACGTACATCAGCGCGGTCAAAAACTTTCGAGACTTGTCTAAAGCTCACTTTGCAGATCACATATCTCCCACTTTGTGGGGGTGAGATAGCTCAAGTGGCTAGAGTGCGAATTTACTGACCGAAAGGTCCGTGGTTCGCACCCGACCTCTGCCTCTCGACTTCCCCTGTCTAGGCTTGGGCAAGCTGGCGATATCCCTGCCCTCGTGCTTCCTTTGGATGGCATGGCAGCTAGGCACCGGAAAGGTGCAAGGCAATCAATAACCTAGGGTACATTTTATTCCATACATATCGTGTGGTTGAACCGGTCTGATTAGTGCAGCTGAATCAAGCCATCATTTGCGCCTGCGGTTGATGTTGAACCAAAAACTTGCTGACCTTAGTACCATGCAGCTGTTCCATACTAAATTTGACGATTAAGTACCAATATGCCCATTTCAGATGGTATGTGTGACTCACGACACTTCACTCATTCCAGAGGACTGTCACCTTCTAAAGGATCGGAAAATGTTAACAAGTGGTCAGTGCATTTAATCCGATCTGTATAACTAATTGCCGGATTTCTCTGTATCAATCCTTCATTGTCATTTAACAATGCTCTGAAATGCCTTTCAAAAAAATTAAGCTTGCACCGAATGAGGCGTTCACAATTCGACTGCCACGAAGACACCTCGTTTTCAGAAGCGTGACTTAAAAATGTTGGTGCTTGCATGATCTATTGGTCAGCTTTTGTTGATTAAGAATGTAGTCTCGTTCCTCCTCACAGTCTTCTCGATTTCGGCGATAGGGGGCCGCACATGCTGGCTGACCCTACACGCCATCAGCTAGAAATGACCCGAGAAACTCTGTGAAATCTAATGGAACCGGGAAGGATCGTAACGAATATAATCACGCCATCGGATCCCACTGTGCGGTTCCAAATGCACTGCTTCGCATGTATCAGCAAGACCCTCATCTTTTGGTTTGGGCGACAGTTGTGTGCAATGTCTTGAAAACTGTTCAACTTCGCGGTCAGTCGTTTCGTGTATCAACTTGCTAACCGGCGTGCAGAGTGGATATTGGACAGGATGTTTCTGCACGTAACGTCGTTGTTCTTGCTGCGGCCCACCATTGCAAATCCACAGTCGAATCCACTAGTTTGCTTCCACCTTTGGATTGTTCTTCATTGCCTAAAAACTAGGTTCTTTTTCTCCATCCAGCTCTATACGAACACGGGATGAATACGTCAGCTCTGGAATGTGTGCTAGCCTAAGTCCTTTGAATTAAACCACCTTTCGAACGTGCAAGCTAGGAATGACGCCGTGATCTGCTTGGGTGATATCAACAGGGCACCCTTACAACTGCAGTGCGTACTGTGGTGAATGAAAGTCTACCATTCAATCTAACTCGCCCTATGCGTTTGGTGTTTGCGAAAGGGTGTGATTTTTGTCTGACTAGATAGCGTTCTACGGAAACAAAGCGCCAGTGCTGTACACCGTTGTTGCTCCCATTGATTACTACGGTGCTGCTAAAGCCATGCTGAAGTCGTAATTGCGGAATACGTTTCAAGATTAAGTGGCTATCCTCACCTTAATGTAAACCGGCAACTTGTGACACCGTATTTGTGAATGTAGACTGTGATCTGTTTTGAACTACTTCATCTGTCGCATAAACTGAACACAGAAATCATCTCAATACCTCTAAATTTATACACAGGTCCTGAGAAACCTTGATAGGATGGAATATCCCGCGACTATCACCTTCCCAAGTTTAAGATACTCCAAAGTGTATATATAGTTTTTTCCGACTAGAAACGTTAGGTCCTTCGATCTTGACCATGAACTTAAGACGTAAAACGTAAACATGGTACGCAGCTACTGGAGTGGTATAATTCAGATGACTTCGCGAACGAAATTGTTAACTAGAACCTATACACGCCTCACAGTTACAGGTGATGATTGACATTCCTTTTGTCTTTGGTTTAAATGAGGTTCTTCGGCTGGGGTCACCTATAATTAAATCCACTGAGTTTATGTCGAGTTGTGTGATAGAGTTTAGAGAAAGGTTCTCATTGCACCGGAGCGTGTTTTCGTCCGATGTGCACAATCCGCGCATTTTTATTCCGGTTAGGTCCTGAAAGTCTCCTTTCAAATATCAAACGTTCCTGGCTTAGTGGTTAGAGTGCGAATTTACTGACCGGAAGATCCGTGATTCAAACTCGACCTCTGCCTCTCGACTTCCCCTCTCTAGGCTTGGGCAACCTGTCAGTATCTCAGCCCTCCTTCTGGTGGCGTGGTAGTTAGGCAGCAAAAGGGTCCTACAGCTGAACAGTTTTTTCACTGGTGTCGTTGCTGCACCAGATAGGAGTATCTTACCCGTCATTCTTTTCTACCCATTTTGCAGCGTTGTTTTCTCCTGCGACATCGCGCATCCCATGGTGCGGCAAAACATGTGTGCCCGATTTGCAACCGTGCTTTTGTTAGAGATGACAAGTTGAAACGCCACATTAGGTGTCTTCATAGTTCTGAGCGACCGTACAAATGTGAAGCATGCCCCAAGGCGTTTGCGCGCAAGTAAGTATATAACGCATTATGATTGTGTTTACTATAAAGAACATGGTTGTTTGTGTGTGATCAACTTTAGCTAACGGCAGCGCGTACAAATGGCATGCCCCAAGGCGTTTGCGCGCAAGTAAGTATATAACGCATTATGATTGTGTTTACTATAAAGAACATGGTTGTTTGTTTGTGAGTGACTTTAGCTAACGGCAGCGCATCTTCCCATGTAAGTAAAAAACAGTTGCCTCTTCGAATATATATATATATATATATATATATATATA